GTTGGGGGGGGGGGGGGGGGGAGTAGTTGACATAACTGTAGCTCCAGTTTACCACAAGGGAACAGTGTGGATAGACTGTTGTGTGTCGTTCTAGACGATTTTATCCTGGCTTCTAGTCAAACAGATTTCCAATTAAAGGCTTCGACCACATCTGAGGGTAGCGCACACAGCCAAAGAATGACCACTTCAATAAACTAATTGAGGGATTACTTGAGTCAGAGAGTAAAAGGAATGGAAGACAGAATAAAAGCCACATGTGACCCCACCCAGGTCATTTGCCTGATTTATCCGTTTTCCCTGTTTCAGATCCCGTTGCACGCCTTCAGTCTCAGTCCACATCTCGTGTTGTTGCACAATTTCGGTTTGCAACTGTTGTTCTCCCGGAAACCCACCACAGCGTTCGCCACCCTGCTTCAACTCGTGCACACGTATCCGCGCAATCCACGTCTATGGCTCCGATTGGCGGAGTGCTGTATCAGAGTGCATCGGTCAGTTACTACTGGTATTTCTGTTTTGTAAGGGATGTGCGGGGCGGGATGTATAGTTACGATGTATAGACCATCCACGGCTTGTCGTGTTGTTTGGCAATTCGAACTTATCCACTGTCATACCTCTCCATTTTGTATTTTGATCATCTCAAGTTGGTCACGGAATCCTTTCTGTTCTGACTGTTTCGTTTATTCATTGCAAGCAACTGAACCCCGGTCATCTATCTATGCCACTGCCGGACACACATTTGACCTATTCGACTTCCACTCAATAAAGTTGCCCCCTCCATCTCTTTCAAATGTAAACGGAGCCTCTTTTCTGTGTGCAAACCTGTCCTTCCCCCCGTCTGATATGAGTACCGGGATGGGTAGATTTTTAAAGGTTTACTTTAGTACTACTAACAATCACAGGCTTTTAGGTTATTGTTTTTGAATTAGCTCACGCGGTTTCTCATCCGATTACAGTGTTTCTTCTATTCAGATTTGGGTCTCGCTCTGATGGGAGGAAATCGTATTTGTTATCTTGTCACTTAAATCGAATATACGCACTACTGAAGAAGTCCCGATATTGGCAAAACAACTTTGCTTTATGCAGGCTCAATAAAACCAGATAATAATAATATGCTTTCTTTTATTAAATACACCAACTTCTAATTGCTTTTCAAGGCGATTTAGGAACCCAAT